CACATTCCCAGAATTCTTGCAGTTTGTGTTCATGTTGGGATCTTTGTCCCAAAAAACAGTATAGTCTTTAGAACAAATTCTAAATCATTTAAATTTTATGGCACTAGGAAAATAATTGATAGTAGGGAAAAGCACTTTTATTTTGACATATACTGTATTTCCCTTGCTGTTTTTATAATTTTAGAGATGAAGAAGGAACAGAGCATCTAAAAAAACGAACTATGAAGTTGCCTTTTATGTTTGCCACTGGAGAAGCTTTGTTGTACGAGGTAACCAACCCCTTTCCTTCCATAATGGACTCCCTACCAGTAAGGACTAAAAACAGTGCTAGTGGAAAAGATTCTGCTACCCAGTCAACTCTCAGTAAGGATTCTCCCCATCCCAGTTCTGTCTTCGGTGCCATTATGCAACAAGATGAGTCAATTTATCTCTGTCCTGCTTCCAGTAGTGCTCCTTTAAAAAGAAATTTTTTAAACGAATCTCTGGACACATGCAGTAGTTGGCAGGACAGTATTGCACCAGCTGGAAATGATATCCTGAAACATGAGCAAATCGGTCGTTCTCAAGAAATGAACCTGACCCTTTCTGAAGCTCATGGAGGGCTCTTCCCTGACAAAAACAGTGACTTGTACAGCATGATGAAACACCTAGGGGTTGATTTTGAAGACATTAAACACATGCAGCAGAATGAGGAATTTTTCAGAGCCGACTTTTCTGATGAGAACGACTTCAGAGACATTGACATAACAGATGAAATCCTGACGTTCGTCCAAGATTCTTTAAATAAGTCTACCTTAGCGTGTCCAGGTTACCAGCAGCAGCCGTCCAGGGCACTGAACTCAAGCTGTATGGTGCAGGAGCACCTGCAGTTGGAGCAGCATCAGCAAACGCAGGTGGCCATCGAGCAGCAGCAGCTGTGCCAGAAAATGAAGCATATGCAAGTCAATGGCATGTTTGCAAATTGGAGCGCTAACCAATCTGTGCCTTTTAATTGTCCTCAGCAAGACCTACAGCAGTACAGTGTCTTTTCAGACTTACCTGGGACCAATCAAGAGTTTCCCTACAAATCTGAGATCGATACTATGCCTTATACAGGGAACATTATTCCATGTAACTCGGCTGTGTTAGCACAACAGTCCCAGCGGACACAGTTAGACTTTCCCCTGGGGAGCTTTGAACCATCCCCATACCCTACTACTAATTCTAGCTTAGAAGATTTTGTCACATGTTTACAAGTTCCTGAAACCCAAAAGCATGAACTAAATCTACAGTCCACGCTAGTAACTCCACAGACATGTTATGCCGGAGCTGTGTCCATGTACCCATATCGGCTGGAACCGCAGCAGAGCAACATGGCTCAGATGCAGTACAGTCCAACCATGCCTGGCCCACAGGCATTTTTAACCAAGGTAAGGATGTTCTCAAACGATGTATTTATCATGTAAGAAGAATCATTAAATCAGTCCTGACATAAACTAAATATAAACCTTTTTAATCTATTATCTACAGCATTTATATCAGAACATGTCTGATTATGTCTGTGACTACTTTTTTTTATAAGCCAGTATGTTCCAAACGCAAGTACAAGTATATCCTTTTTAGCTGAATTGTAAAGGAAAAAGCAGTCAAGCGCTGAATATGTCCTTAAGTCAGTGGTTGGCAAACTCATTAGTCAACAGAGACAAATATCAACAGTACAACAATTGGAATTTCTTTTGAGAGCCAAATTTTTTAAACTACTTCTAACACCACTTCAAAATAGACTCGCCCAGGCCATGGTGTTTTGTGGAGGAGCCACACTCAAGGGGCCAAAAAACAGCGGTTTGCTGACCACTGCCTTAAGTTACCTGGTAAAAGTAGTTACAAGTATATTGTTTAAAATAGAGATTTTGATTTATCTTTCTTGATATTTAAAAATAATTTTCTCAGTGTTTTGATATATAGTTGAAATTGGGTTAAAAGGTATTTCTTTGCATGCCTTTGCCTCCGAAGGTCATTGGAATTTAATCCCAGGCTCCTTCGTATTCTCTAGCAATCCCTCTGTTTTATGTGCCACAGCCTCCTTTTATCCCATCAGGGGAAATGTTTTTCTCTGATGTTCTTAAAAGGGCAATACAGCTGGCTTTCTATCACGGGCCTTGAGGTTGATGTATTTTTACTATTTAAATGTGTCATTAAAAATCCTTCTAGCAGCAAGCACACTTTAAATCTAAATCACTTTTTAAAAAAGTTAACGTGAGTATATCTGCTCTCTCTGGCCATCCAGGAACACAGCATGTTTACATTTATGCTTTTCCATTATAAAATAGTTCATTTAAAAATGCATTTCATCGTTTTGAAGAACATCCTGACCAAAATTAAGTTCATTGTTATGTAATAGAAAAGGGCAGTGAAAGTTTCTTAGTTTCGTTCCTAACATCCTTTAATCACTATAGTCTATTTTACGTTGCTGTGAAGTTAATCATAGGTAGGTACCTTACCTCATATTCTCTTAAGTAGTAAAGAACTTACTTGTGTAATATTACATTTTGAACTCCCGTTAGCTCATGAGTTCTCTACAGTGATCCCTTCACTACTTTTTAAAAATATATATATTTTATTGATTTTTTACAGAGAGGAAGAGAGAGAAATATCGATGAGAGAGAATCATCAACCAGCTGCCTCCTACACACCCCCTACTGGGGATATGCCCTCAATCAAGGTACATGCCCTTGACCAGAATTGAACCTGGGACCTTTCAGTCCACAGGCTGACGCTGTATCCACTGAGCCAAACAAGAATTTTGTAGACCTATCTCTCTCTCCTTCTCGGCAGATATTTTTAGTACACCTCATCTGGGACTAGCCACATATATATAGAGTGGCTACCCTGCCAATTTTGGAGATTTAATTTGAAAAAAAGAATGAAATTTCAGCTAGATTAGGTTAAGGAAAATACATTAAAATTTCACTTTTTTAATGTGGCTCACATTTCCATTGAACAGCACTGCTCTAGATAATACATTTAGAGTAATTTCTTTAAGATCCAACATTCTCTGGGCAATTTGAAGAATTGACAGTTGCCATCATAGATCTAGATTATGTGGGTATTACTATATGTTTTGAAGGCTTTACTAATCAGTATTTTGATTACTGAAGCCTATTGTTAAAGGTTAAAGGTAGATTTTATTTGAAGGAATTAAGAGTTTGGTTTTAATCTGGAAGTTTCTATAACTCTCGCTATGTACTCTAAAGGCTCTGGTATCTATAAAACACTACAGAACTGTGTCCATCTCCCCCATAGTAGTTATAAAAACCAGACCAATTTCATTGTAAGATGGCAAGACAGCATTTTAATAACTTGATTCTGAAATTAGGACAATAATCATAGTGGTCCTAATTACCGAATCAGGTTATTAAAAATATAGTACAAATAAGAAATTGGTTTACCCACAGTCTGAGTAGTAGGAAATACTTAGGTCATCTGTTCCAATGTAGTAATCTCAAGTGTAATAAATTCCCTGGTCCCCAGAATTTGACTGAGATGAAATCTGGTCAAAGAAAATTTATTACAGAGATTATTCAATGTGGGACAAAAATAGTTTATTCTTGTATTATTTTCCATCTGAACAACTATAAACCTATCATATTGTATACCTACTTTAACCTCACCCCGTATTACTTATTACTATTACTCTTTGATTTATTAGTTTCTATTCGAAGGCAATGCCTTGATCAAATGATCTCCTGATATATGGAACACCAAATATATGTGCTCAGTATTTTTCATTGAATGACTTTAAAATTAAGCGATAATACAGTAATTTGAAATTTAACATCATGTAGAGTGAAGATTAAAAAATATTTTAATAATGATTTAAGATACCTTAAAGATCCATTCTAATAAATTGCTGTTTTTGTTTTCAGTTTCCGAATGGAGTTTTAAATGAAACCTATCCAGCTGAATTAAATACTATAAATAACTCTCAGACCACTACACATCTTCAGTCTCTTCACCATCCATCAGAGAACAGACCTTTCCCGGACTTGACATCCAGTAGATTCCTATAATTCCACGCCCAATTTTTACTTTGGTTTTGGTTTAAAAGGTGGAAGATTACAGTTACTAAACTGTCAATGTTGGACATCAGCAAGTCACATGGAGGCATTGATGTATGTTGTTCCCACTGTTATTACCAAACCACATTTTAATGTTTTTCAAAAAGAATTAAAAACAATTAAAAACATCAAAATTAGCCCTAGCTGGTTTGGAAAATTACATAGACTGTAATCATTCAAGTAGAAACTATATGCCACAGGCTGGTGAGATACTATCTACATTTCACATTTTGAGCACCACAAGTTATGCAAATTTTATTTACGGGAACTTTAAGATTCTCTTCAATGAGAAAGTTTTCTCTACTGGAATTATTTATGTCAGAATAAAAAGGTAATGAGTTTTCAACTTATGAACCAGAAGTTACCAAAGTAAACTATTTCTTATATTAAAATAAGTGGTTTGGTGCTTTCCTTCCTTGTTAATGTAAGTGCCTCAAAGTTTTTTCTACCTATAACACTGTAGGATGTATATTTTATATATAAAATAATGCCTTTTCTTTTTAAAGTTAACATTTTACACAAATATCATTTGCATTTTTTAAATTCAATAATTTTTATTAACCTATGCATGTTTTAACTGCACTATTTACCCACTTTCTTCAGGTAAAGAACAAATAATGACTGAAAAGATAATTATTTATTTTTATTTTTTTTTTTTTTTTTTTTTTTTTTTTTTAAATATATTTTATTGATTTTGTACAGAGAGGAAGGGAGAGAGATAGAGAGCTAGAAACATCGATGAGAGAGAGTCATCGATCAGCTGCCTCTTGCACACCCCCTACTGGGGATATGCCCGCAGCCAAGGTACATGCCCTTGACCGGAATCGAACCCGGGTCCCTCAGTCCCCAAGCCGACGCTCTATCCATTGAGCCAAACCGGTCTCGGCTAATTATTTATTATGAATAAACTAGTTGCTTCTAGATTGTAAATGTTGCTCTGTGCCTTACACTGAAAAATATTTTAAAGTAAAATGTCTTTTCAAAGTAAAATATCTTTTCAAGTTATTTCTTAATTATTATGTAAATATTAATGGTAGCACTAAAATGTCAACAGTGTTTTCAAAAATATACCGCCCTTTACCTCTGCTAAAGTCTCCACCCTGGTAGTTGCATGAAAATCTGCTCAAGTGACCACATTTCTCAGCCTACAGTGAAGAGCAGGGCCACTGAGGAAAAACAAAGCGCCCATTTCAATGTGTGTACATTTTTTACCAACTGTTTTGCATCTATAATGTTTTAAGGAAATAGTGTGTTGACTTTATAAATTTCACTTCTTAGTTTGCACTTGCACTGTATTAAGAAGTGAAATTTATGATTGTGAAGTGTTAAGATTGAATATAGCAATGTTTGGTGCAAAGTATTGCTGTGAATGGTGCATTGTGTGCTTTACAATGAACAAAATATTTTTAATTTTTTCATGTAAAAATATTTCATATTTTATATGCATATAAATAATGAGTTTTACACATTTTATCAAATAGTGAATGCAACCCATTTAAGTTGGTATTACAAAAAAAGATAATTGTGCAATTTTATTAATTTCAAACATTAGGTTGTTTCTATGGTAAAGTGACCTTTATTATCAGTAATGCAAATTAATCACCCTCCTAACTGCTGTCCTCAGGTGATTTAAAAGAAGTGCCACCATCTGTTCTATGCATTTTCAGTCAAAATTTTGAATCTAGAATCAACATAAGTATTGAAAACAACAAATTTCCCTAAAACATTTCATATTTTGTTTCCAGCATGAGGTGTCACTAAAGATTTAGACCAGAGGGTCTAGATTAATAATCCATTTTTACATTTAAACTTTTCATTAAAAGTCTTACAGCATTTTTGTTAGTCTTCCTTCGTGTCACTGGATGAACTGGTTAGTGGAAGACGGGCTTTTAGAATTGTGAATGTGATGACAAGCAATTATAAACTTTTAAAGTAATATTGTACATTTTTAGGTGTATATATCCATAGAATAATAAAAGCACATTAAACCAAATACATTTTTGTGTACATTGCTGAGTGTGCCAAAACAAAGAAACCTCCGCTATGTTGAGGGGTTTTTGGTTTTTTTTTAGATGGCGTGCACTTCTAAGAACCTGGAACTTTTCCTATACATCAGTGGTTCTCACAGTACCTGAACATGTACCAGTGTTCTGCTGTATTATGAAGCTTTCAATCGTGCCTATGCACAAACGTAGTGTTTTTCAGTATTACTAACTTGTAGGTAAATGCTTTCAGGGCTTTTCTCCTTCTAATGTTACTGCTTTACATATGCCATGCATACATTTAAAAAAATATATGATTTATAATATCCTTACTATTAAATAAAATTTATGTAATAATATATGGTAATAAAATAATCACCAAATATTAATACTGTCCAATGTAAATTCTTTCCAGTTTATATGAAGGATGCTGGTATACTATAGTATTATAACTATGTTAAAGGCAATCTTTCTGATTCATATAAAGGATGCTGGTATACTATAGTATTATAACTATGTTAAAGGCAATCTATAATGTTGAAAGGTATGTTGTCAGTAATTAATAAAAGTTCTGCCCCTGGATATATAAAAACATTTTTAGTAACATTACAGATTTAAAATGCTTCTGAAATGGATGATTCTAACCCTAACCTGTGCTTTGATTAGAGTATACTGTCCACAACCTATACTCTCTTAACATACAAAGGAAACACTATGCCTTTGCTGTTAAATTTATAATTGCTAAACACTCACCAAGAATTCTGTAATTAAGACTGTCTTAAGAAAAATTTCTGAGAAAAACAGTATTTTATTCTAGCAGTAATTATATTTGTTATGGTTTAGGCTGATCCTTTAAAATAGATATTTTTCTCAACAACCTAATAGCAAGTTAGCATCATATTTAATTTCAAACAGTTTAGAAAAAACAATACTGAGCCTTTTGTCAAGTAAAAATCCAGGTAGTCCTATTCCTATTTCTGATGTCTGCTTCCCCTCGCATGCCTTCTGTCAGTATGAATGGTGTCTGCCCTGTTTTCACCAGCCTGCCCAGCACTGGCCAGGGATGTTAGCTGCCTCCAGGACTAAGTAACACCTTTCTTAAGTCTTCTACCAATGTGTGCAGGTGGCCTTCCCTCTAGTTTTACTAATGAAGACCATCAAATAAAAATCCTGACATCCTAGGTGTGCCTGTACCTTCACCTCAACAATACCACTATCCTTGGTCTGTTGGGCTCGCTTCCAATGGATGGGGAGGCAAGGTTCCCCTAACTCCAAGGTTCTCACCCTCCTTTTGCAGTTCTCATGCAGTTAGCATCCACATTTCCCTAGTACAGAGCCTTCTCTCCTTCCCTAGAACCCTAGGGGGAGGGGGGGGGGATTTGTCCCTTCTACATCCCTTTTCTTATTAAATTGTTTATCTCCTGTCTCTAAACATTTTTTTATCCCCTGAAATCTGGTTTGTTTTCTACCTTTCTATGTATGGTTTTGTGGAAGCTTAATAATGCCCTTCTTACCATAGGCTGATTCTCAATGGCACTGCAGCCAAAATGCACCCTCAATGAACATTTTTTCCTTTTTCACTGCCATGATACTAGTTGCCCTGCACCTTTCACTTTTCTTTGTTACTCTCCCCACCACCCCCACCACCACTCCCAACTAGCAACAGACTTAGTTATGACCATTTGTGGTTCTTTCTCTACCTCCACATACTGTCCTTTAGGAACTCATCCCTTCTGCAAATGCTTTCACCTCTTTAAAAACATGAAATAAAAAGAAACTTTATCTCCAATGTTTATGGAGCATTCTTCTCTTTTGAGAGCATAGCAAAGCCAAGCACACAGACTCTGGAGTCAGACTGTTGGCTTCAACACACATAGGATGTGAATGATTGGAAAGGTTTCTTCTTTCTGAGCTTGAGTTTCCTTTATACAGAAGGAATATAATGGTAATACATGCCTCATTGGATGGTTGGAGTCATCAATAAGTAATTCATGTAAAACCACTTAGTGCCCAATGACCAAACTGGAACAATTTGCCTCCCTAATATGATGCTATGACAAGCACACTTAAGCTCTATGTATATTCTCAAAACCACAAACCCAGGCTCATCATGAGAAAAACGTCAGACAAACCCAAATTGAGGGACATTCCACAAAATTCCTGAGAGGAGTCTCAAGTATCACCGGGGTGAAAAACAAGAAAGATTGAGATGTCACTGGTCAGAGGAGACCAAGAACATGACTAAATACAACACAGCATTCTGGACTTCATCCTCTAAAAGACATTAGGGGATCTGCAGGAATCTGAATGAAGTTCAGTTTTATTAATACTATTGTACCAATGTTAATTTCCTAGTTTTGACCATTATAACATGGTTATGTAAGATGTTAAGTTACATAAAACTGGATGAAGGAAATAAGTTCTCTATATCCTGACAACTTTTATGTAACAAATTATTTTAAAATAGTTTAAAATAATTTTATATACGTTGCACATGGATTGAAAATATTAATATTGTCAAAATGTCCTTACCATCTAAAATAATATATAGTTCAATGCAATGCTTATTAAAATACTAGTGGCATTCTCAGAATTAGAATAACTAATTCTAAAATTTTAACTAATTCTAAAATTTATATGGAACCACAGAAGACCCCAAATAGTGAAAGCAATCTTGAGAAAGAAGGACAAAGTGGGAGATATTACTCCCCCTGATGACAAACTATACTACAGAGCTATCATAATTAAAACAGTATTGTTCTGGCATAAATAGATAACTTCCAAATAGATAAAGAAGATTCTAACAACTAAACCAAAAAATCCAACTGAAAATGGGCAGAAAACCTGAAGAGATGTTTCTCCCAAGAAGACAGATGGTCAACAGACATATAAAAAGATGCTCAACATCACTAATCATCAGGGAAATGCAAATTAAAATTACAAAGAAATATAGCACACCTGACAAAATGGCCATCAATAAATCAACAAATATGGTTTGGCAAGGATGTAGAGAAAAAGAGAATCCTTGTACACTATTGATGAGATTGTAAATTAATGCAATCACTCTGGAAAAAGGTATGGAGATTTCTGGGGGGAAAAAATAACAATAGAATTTACATATGATCCAGCAATTCCACTTCCAGATATTTATCCAAAGGGAAACACACACACACACACACACACACACTAATTTGAAAAGATAAATGCACTCCTATGTTCATTGCAACACTTCTAGTAATAATAGCAAGTCATGGAAACTACTTAGATGCCCATCAATGGATGAATTGAAAAAAATAGTTTGTTGACTGTCACAATAAATATCTGCCATTACTATTTCCCTGATAGATAAATCAACCTTTTCAATTGGAGGTAAACCTGTGCACTGACACCAATCGTTCTTCTGTTTACTGTTGATTTGATGAGTATCTTGGTTTTTCATCTCAATTTAATGGTCCTTTCCACTGGGATCTCCTGCTATAATTCTTTTCAATTATCTTGTTTCCATAGCGCCTATACATCAACCATAATAACCTATTTTCCATGCCAGTTAAGGACAGCCACACCTCAGACTGTGAGCATTGCTAACTGTCTTACGTCAACTTGAAATTTCCTCTTTTAATCACAGCCTCTTCTTTCTCCCTTCCCAGTCCTTTCTTCTTTGTTCAACTAGCTCTTCACTCCATGTGAGCTCTAGGCCATGAGCACTCATTATCCATTAGCCTAGACCTTAGAATCATGATTTCAGCAATAGTTCTGCTCTTATTCTGGAGCTGCCCACTCTCTTATTGGTAACAGCCACTCTAACCCATCACTCTGACCAAACACTTTCTGATAAGCAGTCTTGCTAGAGAAAAAATGACAAAAGTGAAATAATGAGCCTTACCACAGACTTTTGCCTGTGTGTGGCAGAGATTTGCCCACACCTATATTATTCTTAGCAAGAGAACCCTAAATTTACTCTGGAAAGTTACCCTAGATTATGTCAGCAGACGCAATGGAATCACAAGAGTTCTTGTAGGAGAAAGGCAAAAGGGTCAGAGAAGAGGATGTGATAATAGTAGAGGTCACACACACACACACACACACACACACTACATACCACACAGGACACCACACACACACCTCTTCATTGATTTGAATATGCCCAGCTGCTGGCTTTGTAGAAGTAGAGGTCACACACACTACACACCACCCACATGCCACACCATACCACATAAGTGCACGTGCACACCCACACCCATTTGATTGATTTGAACATGCTCTCTTGCTGGCTTTGAAGATGGAGGGCCACAAGTCCAGGAATGCAAGCAGCCTCTAGAACAACCATGTCAAACTCGTGGCCTAAGAGCCACATGCCTCATTCATTTGGCCCGTGTTAGCCTTTGAGTTTGACATGCTTGTTCTAGAAGCTGGAAGTCACAGACACCAAGTCTTCCCTAAAGCTTTCAGGAGGAACACAGCCCTACACACACCTCGATTTTAGTACTTCTAACCTGCAATATCGTGAGATAATAAATTTGTTTAAAGCCACTAAGTCTGTGGTAACTTGTTGTAGCAGCAATAGGAAACTAATACAGTGGTTCTAGATTTTAAGACGACGAGGCATTTGGGGGGAAAACACATTTTTCCATTATAATAATTTCTAAAGAATAGAAACGCTGTTCTCTGTACCTCTCGCTGGCCATTCTGTGAGGGAGGACCAGGAAGGGCTGGTGTATTCCCCATCCCTCCTCTTTATTCTCAGCTGCATCTGGGCATGCAAAAGAACCTCCACTTTATGAGAAGACTGTGTGCCTACGAGCTGCAGTCTTGCCTTGGAATTTCAAAGAAGTACACTTTGCCTTTTCCAGTGTGTAGGTTATGTCAGAAGCCAGGGAATAATATTGCTTACAGCCTCACACGTGCTTCTGAAGAAGGGTCTTAAAAAATGTTTCTGGTCTTTGGAAATGACCCTAAAGAATTTTATTTTTCAGGAAAAACTGATTCCTAGAAGGAAAAGGGCTTCACTACAGTAAGTTAGACATTATACAAGCAGTGTCAGTTAATACATCTTTTAGTGTTCTTTTTCCTGCACTTTAAAACAACAAAGCTATTTGAGGATGCTTTCTGCAGCTAAGCATATCAATACATACAGAAGAAAGTTAATTACCTATACTATGTTATCACCTAGTTGGTTCTTCAAAAAGACCATTAAAAAGAGAATGTGTGACCCAAAACTGTCAGAAAAGCTTTTCTTTTCTGAACACAGAGCCGCTCACACTTGCTCATTGCTTTGTTTGCACAGCAGTTCACATCCGTGACTGGAATTGATTCTGATCACTACATTATACAGGGAGTTTTTAGGGAAAAGGAAGACCCCGTGAAGATTGTTCCACACCACATAGCTAATAACTGGTGGCAGCAAAGATTGCATGCAAGTCATCTGACTTCCAAGTCCAAACATTTTTTAGTATTTCAGGATGGTCTTCAGTAGGCCATAGCAAGAGTTGAATAATTAATTTATTATTATTTTTTAAAATATATTTTATTGATTTTTCAGAGAACAAGGGAGAGGGATAGAGAGCTAGAAACATTGATGAGAAACATAGATCAGCTGCCTCTTGCACACCCCCTGTTGGGTATGTGCCCGCAACCAAGGTAAATGTCCTTGACCGCAATCGAACCTGGGAACTTTCAGTCCACAGGCTGATGCTCTTTCCACTGAGCCAAACCAGTTTCAGCTGAATCATTAGTGTAATACATGAAAGAGGTAGTCCAATTTCCTTTGAAGTTCAGCTGCTTAACTGAAGGTTAAACTTCAGCTAGTAAAACAGGATTACTTTTGGACCCAACACATAGTACCCCAAATTTTAAGACTCCCAACTGAGGGTCAGGACAGGCTTCCCAAAACATCTAGTCCTTCAAGTCTGTTCATAAGACAACAGCAACCAAAGGGGCAACTGTTAAGAGGCCCCAAGTACTG